CTTTCTTTTTTTTTTTTTTTTTTTTTTTTTGAGAGATTTTCACTATAGGGCGCGTGCGCTCGCCAGACAGAGACACAGAGATAGAAAGCGAGAAATCACCCCCCAGGGGGGATGGTCATGCCGCAATCCCTTCTCCTCCATTCTCCTCTCGGGATCTTGGGCACACACGCATATGCACCAGGCGTGAGTTTAAGCCACTGGGTCCGCACACACACGCGTCCAGTGTGAGTTTAGTGCCTGGCATATGACAGACACTCAATTAAAGGCAGCTATTACCGTTTTTACCTCAATTCACTAGTGAATGTTTAGTGACTCATTCCTTCCTCCCAGTTCAGATGTCTTACTCAACAGACGGGGCTGACCTCATTCTTGTTTTATTATAAACAATTATGAGTGATCACAACACTGAATGACTGAGGTCGCAGCACCTCACACGGCAGGGACTGGACATCGCAGAGAGTTATTTCCACAATCATTTCCTGGGGACCTATTCTGAACGAGGCATCAGACGGATACAAGCCGAGCAGGCCTGGTTTCCTGTTTCCGAAAAAGCGTATGTAGCCTAGTAATAGGGACCAACAGAGACAACTAGAAGTTCCAGCAGAAACGGAACTGGCGGAGGATGATCCACTCATTCTGCCGGGAGGTGGAAACTGGACAAAAGGAAACGGAGGATTCGCTGGCAGCAAAGACCTGAACGTTCTTCCTCCAGAGGAGACAACACAAGGATGGATGTTCAATGCGTGGTTTGTTGGGGAATGACAAGCAGTTGGGTGGACTGGGGCACAGGCCACATAGTGGGGAAGGGGGTAGCAGGGGATGAGGGGGAAGTGGTGGGCTGGGGCCAGAATCTGGACTCGATCCTGCAGTCAGCGAGCCATCAGAGGATCCTTGCACGTGAGCAACATGGTCAGAGTTAGTTTCCAGAAGCAAAGTGGTTCAGACATGGGACGGCACATGTATTGAAGCTAAATGGAGAGAGCGTGAATCGCCTAATAGTACAGTCACAACAGCGGTGGAAGGACACATCCCCAGATGCTGAGACTACAGGACTGGAAGGCAACGTGAACTGTTCACGGATTACGTTCAGGTGACGAGGATATGGGTGTCCCCCACTTCTGTGTTTCCGAATTTTACACATTCACTTATTTCGTTAAAGAACTTTATCAAGGTTTGGATGAGGCAAAAAGAGAGGCTGGCCAGGAGCAGAGCACACACAGGCTGGGTGAGTGCACCGCTGTTCCTGAGCGGCACAGGGAGGAGGGACGTGAGAGAATTGATTTCACCCTGGTGCACAAGTGACAGCAATAGAAGACATACCAAAACAAACGCATTAGAAAAACAAAACACTCAGCTTTGTTCACTGAATCATAGAAACGTAAACTTTAAAAAGACACAAAACTATTTTAACTTACCAGTTTGGCAAAAATTTGAAAGGGTAATAATGCTGATGAAATGGGAAAATCAGTGATCTGGGATGTGAAACTGTGCCACCATTTTGGCAGTGCATGTCGGTTTTGAAACGTGCGTACCCCTTCATACAGAAAGTTTACCTCTGGAAGTAGATTAAGGAAATAGGACAAGACGCACACATGCATATGCATCCTCTTGTACAGAAGTGCTACCCTTGGAAATGGATTAAGGAAATAACAGTACGAGACACAGGCATCTAGACGTACCCTCCACGCACAGGGCTGCTTATTATAGTGAAGGGTGGGAAGCGACCTCATACTGCTGGAAGCTGATTGTTTGAATAAGCGATGGTTCATTTGATGGAAACTGCAGCGTTTAAAGAGAATAAGGTAGAGTATACAGCTGAGTTACAAAATTCAAGTGTATGGATAGCAAACTGTTAACAGTGATGGGGAAGGGATACTTCTGCTCAATTATTTTATAATAATGTTGCCACAGAAATAATATGGTTATTTCCGTATTTGAAAAAAGAAAAAAAGGAAGACATCTTCAAGACACTGATGGGACTTTGATGCCTGGATGTGAGAGCAGGCAAGAGGGAAAGGAGGGAGCTGAGGATGCCAGGGTCTAGCTAGAAAGCCTCGATGTACCACCAGCCACACAGGGTGAGGGACTGCTGGGGAAGGGCCCAGCTGGGTTTGAGGTGCCACCGCTTGCTAGAGGTGTGGAGGGTCCCCAAGTGCTAGGGTGAGCTCTGCATAACTGTAAGGGCACTGGCTTCTTGGGGTATGGACGCCTGAACTAAAAAAACTTGGTACTGAGGAGAAACCCTGCAATCTTGTCCAAGCCTCACAACTCCTGCCGTCAGGGGTGCACTGAGGGACAGGCAGGGAATGCGCGCCCCACACTGGTGGCTTCTGCAGCGGCTGTGGGTGCAGCAGTGACTGTCCTTGTCTCTTCTAACTGGGGCAGTTGCCAGAGCAGATGGCCTTACCCCTGGCTGTATCTGTAACAACCTCTTTCTTCCCTGTAGCTGTGACCAGTGCAGGAGGTGGCACTGATACGCGCGATACAACTACTGCCACTGAGGCCCCACCTCTGAGCTCGCCTACCCAGCCAGAGTCTAAAGGAAAAACAACAGCACCACAATCAGGTAATTGCTTTTTCCACTCTTAAACACCCAGCAGTTAAATGTGGAGTTACTCCTCAGCACCCGGGTGTTCCAGACCTTTCTATAAAAGACAGCATGTTAGCGTAATGGCTATGTCGCTGGACTCCCACGTAGTCGACCGCGGCTCGTGTCCCGGACCTGGTGGCTTAAAACTCACGCCGGGCGCGTGTGCGTGCGTGCCCAAGATCCCAAGAGGAGAATGGAGGAGAAGGGATTGCGGCGTGACCATCCCCCCTGGGGGGTGATTTCTCGCTTTCTGTCTCTATGTCTCTCTCTGTCTGCCTGGCGAGCGCATGCGCCCTACAGTGAAAATCTCTCAAAAAAAAAAAAAAAAAAAAAAAAAGACAGCATGGCCTGTTGGGAACAGGAATAGGCATGACAATGTGTACTCCAGTTTAAGCTCCATGACTATTGTGAAAGCTTGGGGCAAGTTCCTCGTCTGTTTCTCATCTGCACGAGGGGTACAGACATTCCTTAGTACAGGCAGAGGGCTGATTTCGGGACCCTGGGCAGGTGCCTAAATCCATGGATGCTCAAGTCCCTTACAGCCGGCCCTCCATGGCTGCAGTTCCAGCACCTGACTGCAGAGGAAATTCGACCTGCGGGTGGTTGAGGATGTCAAACCTATGGATACAGAGGACCAACAGTACAGTAAAAACGGCCCCACCTACATCACAGGATGCTGTGAGATAATTACGCAAAGGTGCCATCAAATGCTAGGAGAGGGAACCAGCAGTTAGCGTACTGGCTATGTCGCTGGACTCCCACGTAGTCGACCGTGGTTCGCGTCCTGGACCCGGTGGCTTATAACTCACACCGGGTGCGTGTGCGTGCGTGCCCAAGATCCCGAGAGGAGAACGGAGGAGAAGGGATTGCGGCATGGCCATCCCCCCTAGGGGGTGAGTTCTCACTTTCTGTCTCTCTGTCTGTCTGTCTCTGTCTAGTGAGTGCACGCGCCCTATAGCGAAAACCTTTCCAAAAAAAACCCCAAAACGCTAGGAGGTAAAAAGTGGCCCCATGATGAGGTGGCAGTTCCATGATGATTATGGGTGCCCAAGGGTTGGGCTTACTTACAGACTCACAGAACTTGCTCAGAGCTTTCTGAAGTAGAGTGCCTAAGGGAGATGAAGACCTCCAGCATGACATGAAACATCCACCTGATAGATTTATTAAAAGAAAGGAAAAAATATAGCAGAGACAGAAAATAACTGCTTGCCAGGTGGCCAGGCTGTGGGAGGAGAACCAGCCTTAGCCCAAGGCCCGGGGCTCTTTTCTTTTCAGCCACTGGATGGTTGGTCCTAATTTTCGCTGTGTATTCTCCTGCTCAGCGCTTTCTCTCTCGGCCTTTCTTTTTGAAACCCCAAATCACCATGGTGTCCGATGGGCACTCTGGACTGCTAAGAAGGAACTGGAAGTTTTCAAATGGCAAGAGGATTATTTCCCCTTGGGACAGGTAGCCCTTTCTTTTTCAGGGTCCCCTTTTGGAATCCTGAAAGCAGATTTTACCATCCCAGCTCTCATGGACCCAGAGGAGATGAAAGGCCAGTTTCTGAGAGAGGTGAGACATCTGCCCATTTCTAAGTGACCAGTCAGATGACCTAACAAGACGAGGCATTTTTATTGAAGACCGCTAAGACAAAGTGGGAAATTAGCTCATCTTGTTCCCAGTATCACTTTAGCTCATGATGACAGGTTGCTTATGTACCAGGATCTTTCTAGAATGTTTCCCGAGTTGTTAATTTTTGTTAAGTTTTTGTTTTTAGCCTAAGTTTGAAGGACTAACGTCTGGGTCTTGGTTTCACACTTATTCATTGGGTAACCTTGGGCAAGTAGCTTATTTGGAGCCTCAATTTCCTCATGAAATGGGAACGATAATAATACTTATCTTATATGGTTGGTTTTATGATTAAATCATATATTCCATATAAATTGCTGAGCCAGTTGTCTGACACATAGTGGGTGCAAAATAAACACCAGCTATTATCAGTACGATTACTGTAGAGTTCTGAATATACATTTGTTTCAGACTTTATTTTTCTCGTTATTGTTTCTACATACTGAGAGAAAAATCTTTAAGCTGATTAAAATTTTTTTTTTCTTTAGTTTTTGCTATAGGATGTGTGTGTTTGACAGAGAGAAAGTGATAAATCACCCTCCGGGGGAGGGGTGGATAGCCATGCTGCAATCCCTTCTCCAGTTTCCTCTCAAGATTTTGGGAATGCATGCACATGTACCTGGCATGATTTTTAAGCTGCTGGGTCTGGGACTCCACGTGTGGAGTTGGCCATGTGGGATCCAGTGCCTTAACTCCACTCTACCTGCTGGCCCCTTAAAGCTGATTTTTGAACATGGCTTAAGGGCACATTCTCCAATTCTATGAGATAATAATCATAGGATATCAGAGCTAGTGCAAACCCTACAGATCATCTAGTCAAAATCATAATTTTAGGGAACCAGCAGTTAGCATAATGGCTATGTCGCTGGACTCCCACGTAGTCGACCGCGGTTCACGTCCCGGACCCGGTGGCTTAAAACTCACGCTGGGCGCGTGTGCGTGTGTGCCCAAGATCCTGAGAGGAGAATGGAGGAGAAGGGACTGCGGCATGACCATCCCCCCTGGGGGATGATTTCTCGCTTTCTGTCTCTATGTCTCTGTCTGGTGCGTGCACACACCCTATAGCGAAAACCTCTCAAAAAAATTTTTTAAAAAAAATCATAATTTTACAGACAAGGAGACAGATGGGCATTTACCTGGTAGCTTGCTGCAATTTATTTATAGGCTAAACAAATAGCACCTGGGCAACTCATTCTAAAATTTCACAAAATCATGTTTCTAAAAAGACCAGTAGTGCATGTGTGTCTAATGTATACATATTTATTAAAAGTTTTACTGATATAAAGGAGGTATAGCACACAAGTTACAAACTCTAATAAAAATACAATACTGTACTGTAATGTCACAGAGCCAGCGGGGTCTTACAAAGTGCTCATGATTTTGGAAAATGCACACGAGCACGTCCAAGTGTCTGCCAGGAGGGCGGAGGGGCTGCCGAGCCTTCAGTGCGTTCGGCTGTAGAGGACACAAGTGCAAATGCTGCAACTCGGCATCCATCTCTTTGCAGACTTTCAAGTCATAAAACTGTGGTGCTGAGCACTGCGTCTGCAAAAGACAAGAATCTACTTCTGGAGGGTTGGGGGGGGGATAGAGGTACTTTCTACCTTGTCTATTCTGTAAGGTCTACTGCACTATACCTGGTTCTGGCCTGGGCCCTTCAGCACTCTGGGGGGGTGTACTCACTGCAGCTTCAGACACCGAGCCAGAATCATCTACCTTCTCCTTTAAAATGAAACCAATGGGAACATCGGGGTTGAAATGGGGAATCGCACCTCCAGGTTAGCTTTGTTGGGACGTATCTATTTCATAAATGGGATGACCACTTGAATAGAGAGCATTTCCAGCTCACAGGTTAAAGGGTAGTACCAGAGGGGACAAGGTGTGTGTGGAAGAAAGCTGAATGCTGTTACTGGTTTTAGCGACATTTGAAATTCCAGGTAGAAGCAAGGAAACACATGTACCTGCCTCATCCCAGTTCAGGAATAGGGACAGAAAACATTTTAATAGACACCCATTTTAATAGACTAGTGGTTCTTAATCCTAGCTGAAGGCAGAATCCTCTGGAGAGAATAAAAATAGAAAAGAAAAGAAAAGAAAGACCAACTCCAATCCTTAGAGAAATTTTATTTTATTCCTTAGTGGTGGAGCTTAGGAGGCATCTCCATTTGTGTGTGTGTGAGTGTGTGTGTGTGTGCATGCACACACATGTATGAGAGAGACAGAGAGAGTAGGAGGGAGAGAGGCATTTTTTTTTGAGTTTATTTTTATTCATAAGGAGGATATGTGTGTGGGCATGGGAGAAAGGGGAGGGGAGAAGCAACCCTCCAACAGAGCTCAGTCATGGTGCAATTTTTCTTTCTCCAAGACTCTACCCCGTCAGGATCCTGGGCACACTTGCATGAGCCCCAAGTGAAGCTGACAGGGCTGAGATATGAACCCTAGTCAGTCAAGTGGGATCTGACTTCCTCTGTGCAAGCTTAACCACTGTGTTGCTACAGGGATGGCCCAAGAGAGGCATTTCTGATGGGTTCTTGCTGCTGTGATCCCCTGACCTAGACTTTCACCTCACTAGGACTATAGGTGGTATATGTTTGGGTGGGTCTAGGATATGAACCCGGGCCTCCCCTGTGGCCCCAGCCTTGCACAGCAGTACCCTAGTGCTTGTGCCACCACAGCTTGGCCTCTTTTTTTTAAAAAAAAAAAAAATCAAAACTCTCAGTGGTTCTGATGAATAGTCAGAATGAAAACCACTGATTTAGTCATTTACTTTCGTCCACTTTGTCATTAAACGTTTAGTTTTCTGGCTAACAAAATTGATCTATGTGCTTTCCCACTGGCGGAGGTGCGAATGTCAGGCGGGCCACTAGAGAGAGGATAACACACATTCAAGGGCAGGGATGGTCGTAAAGGATATGTGTGTGGTATCTTAGATTGAAAACCTCTGCAGTCACAGAATAGCATCAACAGTTTCTGTTTCTGATGTTTCAGATTCAAGAAGTCTTAAAGCTGACATTAGGTGATGAGCAATTCAGATTGAAATGGGTTGGCTTTGAAGCAAACAGAAAGTAGCATACCCGGCTGATCTGCAGTTTCTTTTTCATCTGATTGTCTCTGGATTGTGAGAGAATTTTAGTTTTTTAAATCTTAGTAGAACTGGATTAGAAATAACATGCTATATGCCAAGAGGCATAGACCTACAACATGCACGAAAGAAAACCACACCATAGGAAACCCGCACCCTGAACTATGTGGAAGGAAATAGGCAAGCAGGAGAAGGAGGGGTGCTGGGGAACACTATCCTTGAGAATGACACACAAACAAGGATGATGCAGCAGAAGTCCCAAAGGCAAACCCCAGTCATCTATCTGGGGAATGAAGAGAAGAGGGTGGTGGTCTAGGAAATTCAATGGGACCACGCTCCCAAAAAAACCGGAGGAAACTTCACCAGTAACAAGGCATTGAAGAGATTTAAAGTTCTCCAGCAAGGAGCTCTCTAAGGGCACCATCATATCCTAACATGTGGTATGCTAGTCACCTGTCCTACACCTCAGAATTTCTTACCTGTGAAGTGGGAAATTCTAAGACGCACTGTTCTTAATGTTCAAATACAGCTTTAGAGTACTGTCCTTGCCTATGTTTTCTCCAGGTGTCCTAAGCACTCAGACGCTTGCCAGAGGTGATAGTAAGATGTCAAATACAGTAGCAACTTTAGTCTGAAATGTTTAAAGTTAAAGTTTATTCGTATTCTTTGTAGGAATATCAATAAAAGACCTCAAACGTATCTATAGCTGTACATGTACAAGAACCATCAAAAATTATTCACAGAACAAAAATAAATCTTCTTTAGAACAAACCCAGGTAATGAAACGCAGAGATGGGTCTCACATATGGAACAATCTAAGTGCTGCTAGCACAAAAATATGGCTTTAAAAATAAAATAAAATCTTGGGTTTTGTTTTTCTAAGGTGTATTTCTCTTTCTTGAAATAAAAAATAAATTATTTAGAGCTATCATTGTAAAATAGTCATGTGTATTAACACACTCTTATTAAGGCCCTGGAGATGAAAAACAATCAAATTTAGAAGGTGTGATTCAGGTTAATGTGCTGCTGTCTACTTCAGTCAATTTTCATGTAACTAGGAAATGTCTAAGCACCAGTCCAAATTTAGCCTTTACTATTTATTTGAACTTTCCTGCAAGATAGTGGCCAAAGAGTAAATTAATATTTAACCTTTTGGTTAATTGGGAATTAACATTTTCCCACTAGAAGTTTGGAAATGACATAAATACAGTATTTATTCATAAATATTTACACCCACACATAGATGAGGGAGGCCCCTAAAACACAGTTTCTTGGGAAATCTCTTGATAACAGATAAATCTGGTGTTAAGTCTTAAACTAAAACATTTCCTAGGGACAAATGAGGACAAATAACAACTGATTAGGAAATTAAAATGCATGCTGAGATGTGGGCAGAAAAGGCCATTCTCCCATCCTTGGCTTGTGCCAAGTCTTGCTGGGTAGTTTGCTGAAACACCTGAGGATGAACCGATCAGAATCAAAGCTACTTCTTCCTGGATCCTCCCCTCAGATGGGTGGTGTGCAACCTCCTGTGACTCCCCATGGTATCAGCTGTGATACTGTTCTTGAGACAATGTCAACCAAATCGATTTCAAGTCACTTTAACTTATATATACATATAACACATATATAGTACATTTTAAAAGAGGATAGAGTGACTGTCATAAAACCTAACCACCTAAAAACTCAAGAGAGTTCGGGAACTATTGCTCTATAAAATAGATGAACATTCATAAAAAGAAAGCCCTAGGAATGGTGTGTTTTATGTGGGTGTGTATGTGTTGTTGACAGAAATTTCCTTTCCCTATCTGTGTATTTGAAGAGTGGGCAAGGGATCTAAGTCCTCCTGTTTCTTTGAACCACTGGGCTACTGAGAAGACTGCCAGGCATGGGTCTTCTTTATATATATTCTATCTCATTCACATTTCTTCACCTTTGTCCTTCCTAAACTCAAGAGCATTCATAACTGAATAATGCCAACGAAAGAATGCTTCCACAACTGATAACAATCATTCCAACACACAGGGAGATTCTATTGAAAAAAATTCAACACCCCAACATCTCTTGCTTTTAGGTATTGGACTCCCACATGGCTAACTGAGGTTCGAGTCCCAGACCTAGCAGCTTGAAACTCATAGCAAGTGTGTGTGTGTATTAACACACTTAAGGCCCTGGAGATGAAAAACAATCAAATTTAGAAGGTGTGATTCAGGTTAATGTGCTGCTGTCTACTTCAGTCAATTTTCATGTAACTAGGAAATGTCTAAGCACCAGTCCAAATTTAGCCTTTACTATTTATTTGAACTTTCCTGCAAGATAGTGGCCAAAGAGTAAATTAATATTTAACCTTTTGGTTAATTGGGAATTAACATTTTCCCACTAGAAGTTTGGAAATGACATAAATACAGTATTTATTCATAAATATTTACACCCACACATAGATGAGGGAGGCCCCTAAAACACAGTTTCTTGGGAAATCTCTTGATAACAGATAAATCTGGTGTTAAGTCTTAAACTAAAACATTTCCTAGGGACAAATGAGGACAAATAACAACTGATTAGGAAATTAAAATGCATGCTGAGATGTGGGCAGAAAAGGCCATTCTCCCATCCTTGGCTTGTGCCAAGTCTTGCTGGGTAGTTTGCTGAAACACCTGAGGATGAACCGATCAGAATCAAAGCTACTTCTTCCTGGATCCTCCCCTCAGATGGGTGGTGTGCAACCTCCTGTGACTCCCCATGGTATCAGCTGTGATACTGTTCTTGAGACAATGTCAACCAAATCGATTTCAAGTCACTTTAACTTATATATACATATAACACATATATAGTACATTTTAAAAGAGGATAGAGTGACTGTCATAAAACCTAACCACCTAAAAACTCAAGAGAGTTCGGGAACTATTGCTCTATAAAATAGATGAACATTCATAAAAAGAAAGCCCTAGGAATGGTGTGTTTTATGTGGGTGTGTATGTGTTGTTGACAGAAATTTCCTTTCCCTATCTGTGTATTTGAAGAGTGGGCAAGGGATCTAAGTCCTCCTGTTTCTTTGAACCACTGGGCTACTGAGAAGACTGCCAGGCATGGGTCTTCTTTATATATATTCTATCTCATTCACATTTCTTCACCTTTGTCCTTCCTAAACTCAAGAGCATTCATAACTGAATAATGCCAACGAAAGAATGCTTCCACAACTGATAACAATCATTCCAACACACAGGGAGATTCTATTGAAAAAAATTCAACACCCCAACATCTCTTGCTTTTAAGAAACTAGTAAAATAAGTCCCTTTCAATTGACATAGTGATGAAACACAAAGTATCCCGGGTTCTGGGCCCTAGTTCCGGGGCGGGAGGGTAACCACTCATGCTAAGGCAAGCAGAAGATTTCATTACCAGACTTGGAAAGGGGAGGAAGACAGAGAAAGATCTTTTGGCTTTCCACATCTGTAGGAGAAGGTAGCCCCCAAAAGGGTAGCTGGAAACGCAGTGAAAATGAGTATGGCCTCTGGAGCGGTTGGGTCTGGCACAGTGACAAGTCTACTCTGGTGTCAAGCCTGAGTAGGACTCAGAGTCATAATGGAGTGGACTCCCAGGACTGAGGTAATCTTGAAGAGGGTTCCTTCCTTCCCCAAGCTCAGCCCCATGACCAGCTTCTTGAACTCCACACTGGAGATAACAAGCACTAAACCTAGACGGAGGCCAAATGAATACGAAAGCAAACTCGCTTGATGGCAATTGTCCTCTAGAATTTCCCAAAAAGAACTCTGCTCCCCAACCAGTGTACCTCTGAGGACGGGGTCAGAGCCAGGGCTCTGTAGAGCCACAGAGCCATAAACAGAGGCTGTGAGTAGACCAGGATCTGAAAGTGTACTCCTAAAGTTAGGCTGATTCTCAAGGGCATGTAGGTAATGCTGATAGTTTCAGAAAGGAACTGGTATCTTTCTTTCACCACTATAGAGAAAGGAGGAGGCAGACCAGAGAAAGTAATTCTGACCAGCTAGATACTAAGTGAAAAAAAGCACAAAGCTGCAGTAGCATGACGACCTCATTTGACCGCATGCCCCCTAAGGAGAGACTGCTCTTGACCCAAGCAGCCCCTTGGTGAAAGTGCCTGGGACACAGCAAGCTCTCCAGGGCTGTTCTATGAACAGGTGCCCATTCAGATCCTCCCCTCATGGCTTTTACTGCAGAGACTCAGAGACTGCAATGACCTGATGGAAGGGGAACCCTCTCTGCTGCTTCTCCGCAGAAAGCTTATTGCTCCAGTAACATAAACAGCAAATATATGAAGCTCTTTTCCTGAATCTTACCAATACCGTCCTGGTTAATGGCTAAGTCCAGTGGCCAGCTAGACAAACACTTTGACAGTACTTCCCCCTGAATTTCAAACTCCACTCCACCCTGCCTATCCTGAACTCCACAATGAGGGAAACACGTGTAAGACATGCCTATCTGAATCTATCTGCTTTTCCTCAACCACGTGACACAGAGGTCTGTGCCTATTTGTGTCAAAGACAAGCCAATTAAACACCGCTATAAAAATGATCATCTATTGCTGCATTTTTCCAAAGTTAAAAAAAAGAAACCTCCATGATAAGTTCTATAGATTATAGCATTCTCTAAAGAAACACTCAGAAAAAAAAAAATTTGAATAGGAAAAGGTTCGATGGACAATCTAAAATTTAACATCTGGCAACAACTTAACCTGGAGCTTACTTCTAATCCTTTCATTACTATTTTTTCTTTTCATTCAAGAGAACCTGATAGTAGAGGGTTGCATAATTTTTCCAACTATTTGGAGGCATTTAATCTTCTCATGGAGACAGCCCTCAAAGGAGCTCCCACAACAAAGTGAGATGTATATTGCATTCATCAAAAACACATTTGATTTTTAAGCGTCTCCTCAATTTCCAACATAGGTAATTTTCAGAACATGGGTAATTTTATAATCCATAAGCAACACTTGAGTGCTTCCAAACCTTAATGCAAAACATCACCCACATTACATACTTAAGGCCACCAAAACTGACAGTCCTATTTGTGGGTTTTCTGTGGCACACAACTGAAAGCTTTTACAAAGACTGGATCGAACATGGCTACAGCACAGAACAGCCACAAGCAAGGACAGATTCTCTTTCACATCCCTCTCCTCCAACAAAGGATAGATACCACTTCAGAATCAGTAACTCGTTTTCTTATTAATTTAAGGGATTTTGGCGAAAAAGTGTGCCCTCAAGTTTGAGGAAAAAGGTAATATTTGTTAAATAAATATTGAGAAAATACAGAAGTGCCAGAGCCACTGGACACGAAGCCTGCAGATCAGATAAGCACAGTGAGAAGCTACTGTGTAGATCTCTGTCTGGCACAAACTGACTGTTAGGAAGAAAGCAGGGGGCTAGGGGGCCTTGCTGAAATGCAAGGTCTGACACAATGATCTACCCAAGAGGGGAAGAGCTCCAGAGGTTGGAATGCAAGTCTGGGACTTAGTGGACAAGAGTCTTGGTGCTGGCCTCAGAATGTAAGGGGCATCCACCATATATGTTTTCCTGTTCCCTCGAAGATTGTTATGCAGAGACATTCCATGCAGGGGGTTCCCTGTTGGGGGAGGGTGGGGGGGGTTCCATCTCCAGTCTTCTAAAGACATTTCCTTCCATTATCATTTAAAATAGACATCAACTTACTTGAGAAACCTTGTTGCTTTCTCAATATAAATTACTGCTTAGATCTTGCTTAAAGAGATTCAAGACCCTTTTAACATTTTATCTGACAACACAGAAGGCATGAACTTTTCCTATTTGTGTAGTTATATGTACATATGTGTGAATATATATGTATATATATTTTTTATATATAAGGTTTTTTATAATGAATAAATTAATGAAACATTCCACACTTCTGATATTCAATGTTGCATTCGAGGTAACATTTCACACCTCTGGAAAAAGGAAATACACCTGTTTCTATGACTTTTTTCTGTCCTACAAGTCATGGATGACAATTGCTGAAACTGGGCCATTATTGCTAAAGCTACTAAGAACATGATAATAACGATTTCCTTTCCAAATGTCACTGAGGGGCTAAGAGGAAGAAGCAGCAACCTAAAAGTTAAAGATGGAGATAAAATTACCCTGCCCATAGTTTTGTTAGTAAAATGGATAAATTTTTTAAGCCAAATAAAATGATAACTTACAAGTAGAAAAATTTTTAAATAGGGAACATTCAGAGATTCCTGCCATGGTAAGGTTAGCCCTTTACGGTGTGGAAGAAAGGGTGTTGGCTTTGGGTGGCTTATGGACAGCATTCTGAATAACCCCGCTGGGGAGAGGAAACCCTGTTGGTGCTGATTACTCCCACCATGGGGAGGAAAGGGCAGTGAATGTGTGAAGATGAAGATGGTATGTACAGACACATTGTTACAGTTTTGTAAACTCTTAAGAGGAAAAGAACACCCTTTATTACAACTGGGGTTGAAAAATAAGCCCCCTATCTAAAACAGAAAATGTTCATCTGCTAGAGACGGAGGAGGGAACATGTTGACAAGAGTTCAATAGAAATCACTCTTCCTCAAGTCCAGTTTTGATGCAACAGCTTTTATCTGTGTCTTCTGAAACAGCGAATCCCTAAATAAGATTAGCTGTCCGACCAGAACCAGTTTTGATTGATCAGTGGGATGAATTACGGTTTCATATAGGTCTTGATATTGCATGTTTCCCTAAAGGGCAAAGGGGGCCAGAGTGGGGTTTCAAACTGGCAGGTGAATCCCTGAAAAATGCGTTCTGACGATGTCCTACGCACTCCCTGTACTTCTACCAGACGGACACTTGGGCTCTACCTACTGAACCACAGGCACGTTCCTCACTCACACATAATTCCTACTTCTCCTCTAACTGCAGTGCTTCCAACAAGAGGAAAACAATAATAATAAAAATAGCAATAATTAAAAAGGTAATCTACATTATTCACTTCCTTCTGGTATATTACAGCTGTATTTTCTGTACATGGCCCAGAACTAAGTTCCCTATGTACACAGAGACACGGGGGGAAGCATCAACCTTGAAAGTCTTTGCCATGTGCTCGCCGTGTGCCCTGAAAGACGAGGTTCCTTTCTTCCCTCAAGAGTTTCTCACCACATTGCCACTGTGAAGTAGCAACGTCCTGTAAACCTGGAAGAGGCTGGGTAAAGAGCTGAGGACAGGAGAGCCTTCCACTTCCTTCCGCCTCCTTCCACAGTGTGGCTAGCCGTCAGGCCCGTCAGCAGCTGCTGTTCTTGAATTCACCATTCTCCGTGATGGAAAGCTTGGTGGGGTTGGTGGGCGAGAGGCCGTTGCGGGCCTGCATGCTGTACCGCTCCTTCACCTGGGTCAGCGCGCTCATCAGCCTGGTGTTGGCCGAATCCAGGGACATGATCCGCTTTTCCTACAACACACCAAGCATGGCTTTATTCAGGCTACACGTGGGAGAGAACCCTGTCTTTACTGAATGACGAGTCCAGTGCTTTCTCTCAAACAGCAGTACGCATGGTGCTTCCCAGACAAATGGAACGTCTCTGCCTCTTTCAGTACACTGTCAGGTTCAGTAGCCCCTGGACCCACTGGGTCTCTGCTTATTTTCTGTTTTCTTTTCAGCATAGCAGGACTTGTAATTAATAACAAGCCAGGCTGTCACGCCGAAGTGACACCAGGTGTTAACTGCCGACTATGCAACAGAGGTGTCAAGTTGCCCACAGCTGAAGTGATTTTGGTCAAAACTGAAACATGGAAATTAGGTGGCAAAGAAAGAAGCACCAGAGGTTTCATTTCACAGAGGAAAAGTGCATGTGGTCTGTAGGCTCTCGCCCCAGAAGAGGGCATATCAGTCACATTTGGAAAGAATTCACACTGTGCTCAAAATTAAAACAATACATGGTGGCTGTTTAGAGTCACCAACAAGGTGAGGATGCAACAGCAAGAGGGGAAAAGGCAGCCAAAAGCTCAGACCAAGGAGTTATTGGAGTATGGGGAGGGAGACGTGGCTGAAGGGGGATGCCATCAACATGACACATGAGAACGAACAGAGAACACAGGCTCCTAGACCCATTCCAGCTCAGAGTTACTCCAGGAAAGCTGTCCAATGACAAGATTGCTTTCATTTTACTTTTGAGTCTCTGGAAAAAAAAAAGCTTCAGAACCAGTATTTAGAAGTAAGGGTCATTAAATACAAACACACCAAAACCCCCCCCAAAAACCAAGGTGGGGGGAAAGACAATCAAAGGGAAAGTAGGAAGGACCATCTAAATTAAAAAAAAAAAAAAATCGTCATTCCATCAAAACATTATCAGTTCACATGACTAGGAAGGACACTCTAATTTTAGCTTCAGCAGCTAGGTAAGTCATTCGAGACCCTTTCCAACATGAGGCCCATACTTTTCAGAAATCAAGTTGATGCAGAGCAGGACAGTCTTTACCTACACCCATGACCTTAAAAAGAAAACAGCACCTGGGGGACAGCCCCGAAGCCAAAAGGAGCTTTCTTATTTGAACTTTTGAATTTGCCCAGGGAAAAGCACAGCACGGTTTAGTCAAGATCAGGTCCAGAGATGGGCAGGAGGGCTGAGGGAGGACGCTGCTCCCTACGCTGGAAGCAGCAGCTCTCTCGCCCCCTTACAGCACTGCACCGTAGGACTGCGCAGCCAGGAGCCTGGGAATCTAGGTTAACCATAAGCAACTGCCACATCGAATGATGCTTCCCTTTAATCTCCTCCTTTGCAGGGGTAGGAGCGGAGTCTAAATGGCAGCGGTGCTGGTGGTCATGGTTTCAAAAGCATGACAAGGAGTCTACCTTACATTTACTAACTCCTTTCCTGAAGGAGAACTCAGGTGGTAAGATACACCAAACCAGCATTAACTAACCCACATCTAGCATAAGATACTCTTTGAGTATCTTATCTTGGGAAGGTAACTTGTTTTAAGAATTAGGAAAACTCAAAGAAAGGGAGATCTGCTCAGGTTTCTAATAACAGCTATTATTTATAAGAAAACTACAGTCAGTGGAGTTTTCTGGGATAATAAGTATACATCTTTTAAAAGCAGTAGGTAAGGACTGGCCTGTGGCTATCAGAAAATAAGATATAGTAGCCTTCCATGGTTAGGAATGATTCAGAAGAAAAGGTATTTTGGAACTGGAATAAATGATAAGGACCCAATACTAGGGAAAGCAAGGCTTTCCAGGGATCATCTAAAAAAAATCAGTTATTCACAAAAGATTACTTGATTCTTGAAAGGTTAAGAGGGCTAAAAATGACTGTAACTACTTATTGTCAACACAGGTAACAATGGGAGCCAAGCAACCCCCCTACTGAACAGCCCAAGCTGCCAGGTGAAGAAACTCCCTTTGTAATTTTGCCATTGCCAAACACTCAAAATAAAAAGTAAAAGAAAAAAAAATTAAATAGAGCCTTCTGAAAGTCAAATTGGCAAAAGATGCCCTGACATTTCAGCTCTGCCTAAATCGGAAGGCACAGCCATCTGCCCCAGCCTGCGGGAAGGACCTGGATGCGGGGAGTGGAGGAGCTGGAATGTGTAGGAGGCCAGTGCGCCGGCCAGGGCTGGGAACCGCTCAGCTAGAGAAGGGATGGGTTTACTTGCCTGTTTGCATAATCTCATCTCCATTTATGACCTGTAATTTAACACAGCGGAGACATCACTTGCAACAGTAACTAGGCAGCTGCTTTGCTTCTCATAGGAGGAAGCCCTTTTCTGTTCTCCATCTGAGTCATGTAGAGAGATGCAGGGTGTCACGGTGTCTCCTCAAGCTCGGGGGTCAAGGTGGCACATCCCTGCTCTGCTATTTAAGAAATGGTTCTGCCATTATTAGGAGTCCCCGTCCAAGGTACAGGGGCCAGGCTGGGTGACTCTGCCACTCACCAAGGGAGTGCTCATCGTTCTGTGGTTCTAGTTAGAAAGTAGCTAATGCAGGCCTGTGCCTTGCAGCATGAATTGACTCAAGGAGGGGGAGAAGCTGAATTCAAGGACAAGCCTTCCCTGTGGGTGTACAGGGCTGCTGAGAGATGAAAACCAGTTCCCTGGGCAACTGCGTGTCAGTGTGAGGAGTGCTGGTTTACCTCTAGCATGAGGAAAGCAACTACACTCATTTCAGGAACATTTTGTACTACCAGTGGCACCAACACACACGTCAGGGACATAAAAGAGTAGGTCACCTCTCTGGGAGCTTTCATCTCCCCCTCCCAGAAACAGAATGTAATAAATGATGCCAGAAGGGCTGCTCCATCAAACACTCAAGAAGTAAGAGTTATCCTTATAAAATGAAGGATCTGATATAGAAAGTCATTCATTACAAAGGAAACAAAGGATGTTCACAGTTTTTTTGCTATAATATGATTTTAATGTACCAGTAAGTCACCAGCTAGAATTGAAAAGCCCTGAAGGACATAATTCTTTAAAAAATGTTTTTAGTTTTTTAAGATATGCATTGTGCATATACTACTAAGGGGTCTAGTGGGTTCCCCAAGAATTCTTTAGGGATCCACACTGGGTCTCTGGTAGAATAGTTTATTATATAGTGATGCCTGTGTTCGAGTAGCCATTCGTTATCTTTAAGCAACCCCAGTATGAACTGGTCGTTAGTGGTCCTTGATGCTCAGCCATCAATGGAAATAGGTGGTAGAGATTCATGGGAGGTGCTTCGGTTCCATCAGAACAGTCCTGGGAACAGAACCATTTGAAAACTACCATCCTGAGGCATGGACCCAAACATTCACTAGTTTAGTCACACCCCGGGATCTGACAGTGACACAGTGACTGCAGTTTTGAGAATAACACTTCTCCCATTCCTACATTATGACACCTTCCTGGCCAGCTGCGGGAAGGACCTTACTCTCCAGAGCTTCTGAGCCTTGATAAGTCAGATCTCCTCTTCAGCATTCCTTTCCTATGCTACGACTTCTGCTTCATACTGCCCTGGATGTGAGAGTAGGGGCAGGGTGGGGTAGAACTCTTCAGAAGCTAACAGTAAGGTGGTCCTGTCAGCCAGTGTGCACTGAGCCATAGGTGCACATTGGTGGTGGCACATCCAAGCCTCTCTTTTTCTTTTCTTTTCTTTCTTTCTTTCTTTCTTTTCTTTTTTTTTTTTCTTTTGAAGTTTTTGCTATAGGGAGTGTGTGCTCACCAGGAAGACAGAGTGAGACAGACAGAAAGCAAGAAATCACTCCCCAGAGGGGATGGCCATGCATCAATTCCTTCTCCTCCATTCTCCTCTCAGGATCTTGGGCACACACGCACACACGTGCACACACACACACACCTGGCGTGAGTTTAAGCCACCGGGTCTGGGACTCGAACTGTGGTCGACTACGTGGGAGTCTAGCAACATAGCCATTACGTCAAATGCTGGTCCCCAAGCCTCTCTTCTTAAAGACTGAGTTTAGACCAGCTGTGAGTATTAAGGAGACCTGTTTTATCTCAGTATTCTGAAATTTCCTCCTGGTAGCATTAATAGAACTCTCCCTTATTTTAATTATTGTATTGAAATTACAAAAGTGAAAACTTATCAAAGCTAGTTTTCCTGACTAAATTGCCTGCTATATCCAGGCTCTTTAAGTTTCTGGGATGACTTTTATATATGTGTAGTGACATGGCCTTCTCTTACCCACTTTGGGGACACTAGTAAGATTTTTTATCAAAGGAGCACATAAGATAATTACAGTAGACTCTTTTGCTTCTTAGTAGATCTAACTATTCAGAAACTAGAGAGTTCAAGAGTCCAAAATATTTTGGGGAGCCAGGCTGAAAGAGAGCATCACAACTCTCTACTTCCGAGACTAGGTGTTTGAAGGACTAGCAGGCCTTCTTCCATGTTGTCTTCTTCCCATGCTATGATTTCACCATCACTCTCGGTTACTTTAAGAAATAAACCCCATCCATGCCACACTGACCCTGTAAAGAAACTAGACTATTGAGCGCATGTTTAAGAATACTGGGGTCTCCAGCATACACTGACTACTGGCCAGTAAGTTCAGAAGGAGAACATTTGTGCACAAGGTCCTTGCTCTCATGTTTATTTCACAGCTTAGGAGTGAGAAATGCAAACCTTGCTGGCTTGTCTTCAGGGAGATGACACATTCAGTAGCTAGACCAGCCACTATCAAACTATGCCTGCCTTTTGTGATTTGTTTCACTCTAAGAAACGCAACCATATTTTGCATTGTGCAATGAAAAGGGGTTAGAAACATTTCGGTCTCCTGGACTTTGCTCTGGTCACTGACATGCCCCTGTGAGGTGCTCTTGTCAGCCATCATTCCATGGTGTCACAGGCGTAAGCTACAGTGAGCAGAGACCTAGGTTCTGAGTCCATCTTTTCTTAAAGAGGTTCTCTGAGCACAGTGCCAACGAAGAAAGGCAGCCAAGCACATTTCAAGCAGCAATGCCAAACCCTGACCAGAAGAGTAACAAAGAAAGGTGCCTTCTATGACCTTGTCTTTCCCCTGCAATTCCATTCCTGTCTGGGGCCAGAGGTTGATGGCAGTGGACAGGACCGACAAGACCACTGTGTGTGAATAGCACAGCCAAGCAACGGGCAGTGGAGGTCACAAGCCAGACACATGCGATGCACTTTCCACAGCTCCCCCCTTCAGCGCAAACACCACTGTGCACTAGGTGGAGATCTGTCAAGCAACTGCACTATGCATACTAACACTTCGCTAGGTTCACAGACTTGTCACCAGTGAAAGAAAGGTAATGGAACAGAGGTCACATAGAAGCTCACTGAATCTTCACAGGCTGATGCTGAGAACTTTCCAATGACCCATTTTCCAGTACCTGCCTTTGGCATTTGCAATGGTGGGAAGTCAGGAACTCGCAGTTATTATAAACAAGAGCCTTCTAGGAGACTTAGAATCTGCTTACCTGTGCATCAATTATCTTCTGCTTTGCATCAATAACTGCTTGCATTTCAGCATGATCCTTCTTCAATTCCTCTTCCACAGCCATTAGCCTAGAATGTGGCAGGAGTGAGAAATGAGCATCTTCAAAGAGAGGGCCAGGTGATATAGAGAATTCAAAACTCAAAATTCATCGTAAATCGAGCTTTCCATTCCTTGCTAATGAAAGACCTGCAGCCATCTTTTCTTCCTTCTCTCCTACCTTGGAAGAAGACAGCCAAGGCTGACTATTCTATGCTTGGATCCCATACACTTCCACCTCCTTTGGAATAGTAGTCCCATAATTATATCCTCCATTTCCTTTATTTCTGTTTTTTAAAAAGTTTTATTTGTTGGGGCCAGCAAATGGCGTAGTGGTTAAGGTGTTGGACTCCCATATGGTTGACCGTGGTTCAAATTCCAGACCCAGTGACTTGAAACTCATGCTGGGAGGGTGTGCATATGTGCTCAAAATCCTGAGAGAGGAATGGAGGAAGAGGGACTGTGGCATAGCCAATCCCCCTGGGGGGTGATTTATTGCTTTCTCTCTCTCTTTCTCTGGGGAACATGTGTTCTTTAGCAAAAACAAAAACAAAAATACCCCCAAATGCTCTCTCTCTCTCTGTCTTCAAAAAAAAAAAAAACAAAACAAAACAGTTTTTTGTGTCTGTGTGTGTGAGAGAAAGAGAAAAAACAAGAAATAACATACTGACAGGGTCCAGAAGCTGCAATCTACCCTCAGCCTCAGCCTGCCCAGAACATGGGCAAATGTGTATATGGCATACTCCGGAATGTCACCTGACATGAACCTGAAGTCTTCCTGTGTAAGTCAACCTCTCAGAGTGTTGTGTGTTGACACTGCAACACTATCTGGCCCAACCCCAAGTTTATGAACATATATACAAAAAAACTACCAAGAGTCAAAGCCAAGTCCAGGGAAAGACAACAAAAATTCCTTTTGGTGTGGGTACAATACTCTGGTAGCTTTCTCCTTTTGTACAGAAAGCACATCTGAGAGGGAAGTCATGCTGGCTTTCACTGACTGTGCCTGATTATTGTTGAAAGGCAACCTCAGGCTTTCCTCCCATGGGTCTATTTCCCAGGCTCCACCAAATCCAGCTGCTGATGCTGTATATGGAGACTATCTAACTTATACAGATCTTCTGTAAGGCCATTTCTAAAATCCTTATTGTTTCTCAGAAATTCCTCCACTACTCCTCGTTGATTTGAGATCTCTTCAGGCAACACTTCTCGTTCTCCTGTTTGAGAATACAGCTCTTGCAGTTCGTCCTTTAGCAATTCTGCTTCTATTTCATTCACTTAGCTCCTCTCACTCAGGTATGTTTCTGTTTCACATCCATACCAGTCTGGCTGATCTTCCTTGGTGATGTGAATAGCCTAGTCAGTTGTCAGCTGTTCTATTCTGGAGACATGCCTGAAATCATTCAGAAAATTTGGGACTGGGCCAGTCGATGGTGTGGTGGTGAAGGTGGCTGGATACCACATGGCTGACAGCATGGTATGAGTCCTGACTCAGTGGCTTGAGAAACATGCTGGGCTCATGTGCCCCAAATCCAAGGAGGGTAGAGGAGACAGGACTGCAGTGCGATCATCCTCCTGGGGAGTGCTCTTTCACTTTCCCTCCATCTCTTTCTCTCTGTTTCTCCAGTGTGCACACATGCCCTGTGGCAAAAACAAAAGTTTTTTTTTTTTTTTTTTTTTTTTTTAAGTTTTGGATCTTCATCTGAAAATCTGGAAGCCACACAGGAGACACTTTCATCTCTGAAGAATGCATGATCTCATTACGACACTTAATTGTCTCTGTGACTTTCTTTCAGTCAATCATGAAATGAACACAAGAGTTGTTGAGACTCTTCATGGCATTCCTCAGGTCCTCTTTTGTCTGCTGGTCCTCAGGGCATGAAGGCTCTGGTCACCTCCCAGATGGCAATAGGTCAGTGGCCTGGTTGGCCCTTTCCCCAGTGCACATCTCCATTTCTGTTGATGTGATCTCTCCGGATCTCCTATTCCCACCTGTTTCCACCTGACACTGAGGCTGAAACCAGCAGGCAGGCAGCTGCATTGTGAATAGCCACTGTGAGCTGTATGGGGGCCTGGGTTGGGGATCTGTGGTAAGCACGGAGTAGGGGAAGGTGAGCTCATCATGACTGATGAAGCCCTGCAGGCAGCTGTGCAGCAGCAATGGACAGTCTTCACCAAGTTCTTGTACTTGGCACAGTTGAGGCACATGCCAGGCTGGAAATGCCATGTCCAACTTGGGCTCAGGAAGCTGCAGGGTGTAGGTCATGGCAGACAGTCCTTCTCCTTCATTGGACCCTTCTTCAGCATAACTTATTTCATCCTAAGGTACCAAACTAGCCAACAAAAACCAATTGATGCCCTCTTTTTTTAAAAAAAAAAAATTTTAAAGATTTTATTGAATTTTATTTAATTTATTATTAATTTATCCATTAATTTACTTAAATTTGACCAGAGAGGGATAGACACAGAGAGAGAGAAAGTGAGAAAGCAAGCCACCAGGTCTGGGACTCAAACTATGGTTGGCCATGTGAGAGTCCAGTGTCCTTAACCACCACACCACCTGACAGCCCTTACTAGGTTTAGTTTCTTTTCCATCTACCGTTCATATCTTAACTCACTGATGTTTAACTTGTGACTCTACTCAAATGGCTCTAGGCAAAATCAACAATTACATTCATATTATTAAAACAACAAACCTTTTCTCCCCTCCAAACACTTGACCTGTCCATAGCATCTGACACTACTGAAGCACAGTTGATGAATATGAACTCTGGAGCTCAGCTTCCTGGGTTCAAATCCTTGTGCACCACTTACCATATGACTGAGGGCAGGTGAAGAAATCAATCTACTGTCTGGTTCTTTATTCGTAAAATATGAATAATAATAATGCCTATCTTGGAGGTTATGATGAAGATTTAACAAATTTTTATAGTGAAGTGCTTTAAAAAGTACCTATCCACAGGGCCGGCAGGTGGCATGGTGGATAGGGGTGCTGGACTCCCACATGGCCAACCACGGTTCAAGTCTTGGACCTGGTGGTTTGCTTTCTCACTTCCTCTCTCTCTCTCTCTCTCTCTGATCAAACTGGAAAATAATAATGATAATAATAAATAAAGTTAAATAAAATAATTCTTTGAAAAAAACAAGTACCTATCCATAGTGAACATTATGTAAATATTTAGAAAAATTGATATCTGTGACATTCTCTCTTGCTTCTCTCACACTAAAGATATCTATTGAAGCTCCTTCCCATAGTTTTGGATTTCTTTTGAAAAACTAAGCTAGTCTTTGATATAGGATGTTTAGATTTTTAAAAAGTTTACCCATTGATTCCCTCCATGAGAAAGAGAGACAGAGAGAGAGGCACCCCTAATGGAGTCTCCATACTATGATCCACCCCCATCCCAGATCATGGCACACGTATGCACACCAGTGTGTACAAGGAGACCCCAGGATGCAAACCTGGGACCTTCTCAAGTGGGTCCAATATCACACAGAGTGCCTCAAACAGTTGTGCCTCCACCTGGCTCCAGTTCTCCTCTCAGACTTCTCAAGTGAGCCAGTAAGGTTTTATTTTTTTCTAATTGTTATGGTTAAAGAAAAAAGACCACTTTCACCTTCATGGGACGTGCCTCAGGTTTCATATTCAGTATATTTGAAGAGAGACAGCCAGTCATCCATCTGTGTTGAGTACCACACGATATACACAGTTGCGAATGGCTTTTGCTGCCATTCCTTGAGGATTCTTCAAGTCCCCACCCCACCCCTTTGGATCCTGAGCTAGCCTCCATCTGCTGCACAGGGATGCTGACCTGCTGATGATGCTCTTCATCTGACTGTCTTTCTCCTCCTGCTGCCTGCGGAGCAATGATAATAATAAATAAAGTTAAATAAAATAATTCTTTGAAAAAAACAAGTACCTATCCATAGTGAACATTATGTAAATATTTAGAAAAATTGATATCTGTGACATTCTCTCTTGCTTCTCTCACACTAAAGATATCTATTGAAGCTCCTTCCCATAGTTTTGGATTTCTTTTGAAAAACTAAGCTAGTCTTTGATATAGGATGTTTAGATTTTTAAAAAGTTTACCCATTGATTCCCTCCATGAGAAAGAGAGACAGAGAGAGAGGCACCCCTAATGGAGTCTCCATACTATGATCCACCCCCATCCCAGATCATGGCACACGTATGCACACCAGTGTGTACAAGGAGACCCCAGGATGCAAACCTGGGACCTTCTCAAGTGGGTCCAATATCACACAGAGTGCCTCAAACAGTTGTGCCTCCACCTGGCTCCAGTTCTCCTCTCAGACTTCTCAAGTGAGCCAGTAAGGTTTTATTTTTTTCTAATTGTTATGGTTAAAGAAAAAAGACCACTTTCACCTTCATGGGACGTGCCTCAGGTTTCATATTCAGTATATTTGAAGAGAGACAGCCAGTCATCCATCTGTGTTGAGTACCACACGATATACACAGTTGCGAATGGCTTTTGCTGCCATTCCTTGAGGATTCTTCAAGTCCCCACCCCACCCCTTTGGATCCTGAGCTAGCCTCCATCTGCTGCACAGGGATGCTGACCTGCTGATGATGCTCTTCATCTGACTGTCTTTCTCCTCCTGCTGCCTGCGGAGCCGCTCCTCACTGTCCTCCAGCCGGGTCTTGTACTCCAGCAGCAGCTTCTGCATCTGCTGCTCCTGCACCAGCAACCGGCGCTCGTACTCCTCCAGCCGTCGGCTGGATGCACGCAGGCGCTCCTTCAGTTTAGTGATTTCTTGTTCGTACTACAGCAGACGGGAAGAGGCACCGAAAATGGACAAGAAGAGAAAAGTTAGAGTTATGCTGGTTTTAGGAATCGAACATTGGCATTCTTATGTAAGCAATGCCAGGCAGCGTAGCTGGCAGCCAGGCCCTCTGCTGCCTTGCCAGTGTTGTTTCAAATTAGCAGGTGGCATGAATGCTGATAGAGCTGTGCTTCCCTTCCAAGATGACGTTTGAAATTTTAACTTGGCTTTCCAAATTCTGGAATTTTATATCCCCCCCTCTCCACATTAAACTACTAGCCACTACAAGTGACATCCAGTCTATGGAGGTTTCAAATGGAGGTGAAAAAAAGATCAAACATTTTGAAGCCTGAAAAATCACTTAAGCCAAAAGCCCCCGTCTGCAGAGAACAAGGTTTTAGTAGCATCACCTGCACTGCGGGATCCCTGACATACCTTGGCTAATCAAACTGCCCTTCCTTACTCAACTAGAATTAGTCCTTTAGAGACAAGCAACATCGCTATGATTCAAGTCACTAAATCAAGAACTAGAATTTTATGGCATAGTAGGCTCTTCCTGCTTTCTCCTTAGCAATAAATAGTGTAAACTATAAATAATGTAAACTATTCAGGTCACAGGACTAAGCAAAGGCCTACAAGCTCTCTAGGGCTGATAAATATATTGCCTCCTGGCCTGTTTCCATCATGTGGTTCATCTCACTTTGGTGCTGTTTGTGTTAACATGCATGTCTGTCTGTATTCTAATGAGCTTTATACAAATTCGGTCATTCAACTGGTTACATGTGTATGAAGTTGCTGTGGTTATGGTCTGAGTACACTGGAATGTAAAATGTTCTAGGTAAGGTGAGAAGTATAAGCTTTTCTCTAGATGGCCTATTTATATTTGTTGCATAATAAAATACAATATATTTCCCACATAATATCATCTCATTTATTTGACAGACAACTAGTTATTGCTTATCCAACACCATGGTTCTAAACTATGCTTGTTAACCCAGAAAGTCAAAATGAGAATTTTAAATGACAGTTATTTATTTTGTTTCTTTCTTTGGAGGGGTTTTTGCTATAAGGGCATGTGTGCTCGCCAGAAAAACAGAGGAGACAGAGAGACAGAAAGTGAGAAATCACCCCCCTCAGGGGGGATGGCCATGCCACAGTCCCTTCTCCTCCATTTTTCTCTCAGGATCTTAGGCACGCATGCACACACGCCCAGCGTGAGTTTAAGCCACCGGGTCCAGGACTCGAACCGCGGTCAACTACATGGGAGTCCAGCAACATAATCATTATGTTAACTGTTGGTCCCTTAAATGTCAGTTTTGAAGACGCAGACTGCACTATTAAGCATAACTTGGAAGTATGCTGATAAATAAGCAGCAGCTAGTTGTCTGGTGTCAGTTAAGTTCAATAATGCTATAAATAATGTCAAGGTTTGTTTTTATAATTCTTTTTTCCTCTATGTCAACTTTGCCTTATAAAAAGGCAAAACAAACAAAAAAATCAAGCAACAGATAATGTTCTTTTAAGAATTATCTACAGGGCTAAACAATCTTTATCCAGGAAAGGAAGAAGAAACAAATGAAATAAAAAATTTTTAACCAGGTATAGAAAGTGTAGTTCTGATGTAATTTTGGCTTTGGCTAAAACTAACCACCAGTTTACAGAAACACTAAATATTCACCTAAAATAACTTGAAATAAATAGCAAAATATCACCCAGATTAAAGTACTCTACACAAAAAGCAATACTGCTTCCCCTCACCCCAATATGAGGGACATTTCCCTCATATATTCACATACAGGCACTATTACACACAGAAATGTAAGTGATGGTTAGCCTAAGAGGTAGAGGTGAAGAAGGGGTGGGGAGATTCTTGGTTAGATAACCCTTCAGTGGCCCATCACTTGTGTGGGCAGTAAGTCAATAAAGACAGACAAGGTTCTACCTTTTCAGCATGCTTGGCTTCATCTTGATTTTGCTCAGTTTCTTCTACATCCTCTTCATATTGCCCATTGTTCAAAACCCAGGCTGCTGTCCTTTCTACTGGGGACATTGTGGCAGAGTCCACAGGTGATTGAACCTGCATCGGAAACAGTTATTAGCAGTGGCCAGACTAGCTCAGGGGTCTCAAAAAGATGAAATTTGTGGAAGCCATAACTGTGATCGCTCAGTTGCCCTCACACCCTATTTATGTTCTTCCATGAGCAAGACAGACAAGAAATTCTGCAACCCAACAAGGTCTTGACAACGTGACCCACCCCGCAGCTTCAAGCTGCCCCTGATCATGGGCACACACATGCTCAATGCACACAGTCTCCAGACTCAAACTAGCAGCCTTCCTCTGTGGGTCTGCCTTGCAGAACATCATGTTCTCCTGCTGCCACTGCCAGGCCACTCCTCAGTTTTAAGTAAAATTTATTAATGCCAAGGTTAGGGATGAGGAAAGAAAATATCCATTTGTGTAAGAACAAACTTTTCTGAATAGAAATTTGTCTACATTACATCTAAGGAACATCTTTTTCTTCCCTCTAAAGAAAGGCAAAAGCTTTCTGCTTAAGTCAGAGAGGATCAGGGACCAAAGAACTGATTAATGCGAGCCAACTTATGAGGTGCCCACTTACATATTAGAAGGCATAGATAAATGAATTAGTCACATTAACCATTACAAGAGAGAAGGACAGTGGCATTGGTTATTTTTATAGAACACTGACTTCTGGTTAAGACCACTCAGTAATCCATATTTTAGACCAGAAAATTTCTTGATGAATATAAGATGAAAACGTTGAATTCTGGACAGTCTAAGGGATATCCAGTTAGGATAGCAAGATATCAATATTTTCTAATATAGAGACACAGAGGGTTAAGAATCCTGGCATTGAGTGGCAACTCTATTACTTAGATAAATCACTTCTCTTAAACACTATTTTCCTAATCTACTGAATAGGGATATCATTGTCATAACCACCACTACCTGTCCTAACCAACTCATAGGAAGTAGTTAGGAGTAAATAAGGTAACATAACTGGAAGGTCTTTTGAAACTAGAGTGCTATAGAGATACTAGATGCCAGTTGTTACTACATTTATGTTAGAAAACTAGCACTGGATATTACAGTTTATTTGTTTATTTTAATTTACTAGAGGGCATGTGTGCTCAGCAGAGAGACAGAGACAGAGAGAGAAGAGAGAGATGAAGTGCCCCTGATGGGGTTTGGTAATGCCGCAATCCCTTCTCCTTTATTTCTCCAACCTGCCAAGATTTGGGACATGCACTCATATGTGTTCAGTGTGTTTTTCAAGTTGCCAGGGCTGGTATTCAAACCATGGAGCTGGCCATGTGAGATCCAGCTCCCCTAACCACTAAGTCCCAGGGTCAGTTCTATAATTTATATCAAACTATCCATCACTGGTCCTCTCTCCATACATAGTGTTGAAAATATACATCAAATTTTCTTTTTCTGACATGCCAGACAGAGAGAGATAAAAATCACAGACAAGAGAGACAGAACAAGGCTTGATATGTGAGTTAGCCTTTTATAATTAAATAGGATTTGTGTTTTGAGGACCAATACTCCATAATTTTGTAACTACAGAGAATTTTATCTCCCAAACAGAACTGCATACTTTTAATAATTTTGATATTTTGAATAGATACAAGTTAAACTCTAGATTTTTTAAAAAAACGTATTTTGGGGAACCAGCAGTTAGCGTAATGGCTATGTCGCTGGACTCCCACGTAGTCGACCGCGGTTCGTGTCCCGGACCTGGTGGCTTAATACTCACGCTGGGTGCGTGTGTGTGCATGCCCAAGATACTGAGAGGAGAATGGAGGAGAAGGGATTGCGGCGTGACCATCCCCCCTGGGGGGTGATTTCTCGCTTTCTGTCTCTATGTCTCTCTCTGTCTGTCTGGAGAGCACATGCGTCCTATAATGAAAATCTCTCCAAAAAAAAAATAATAATAAAAAAAATATTTTGATGTCCTTGAGAGTCAGGCTAGCTGAAAAATATTGGCTGTAGAGACTGAAAGGTTATTACATATGGCCTGAAGACTGAAACTACACATGCTTGAAAGTAATATGAGGGCATTTTGTAAAGGTTTGAAGAAGACCTTTGTTTAGTTGATTGACAAACGGATCACAGGTATGTATCAATAAAAATGTCTTTGTGCTTCAGGATAGATGTGTGTATCTAACACACACACATAAGCACTTATGAATGAACTTCTGGAAATTCCTTTTATAAAGTTGTTCTTTCGTGGGGTTAGCAGGTGGGGTGATAGTTAAGGTGTCGGACTCCCACATGGCCAATCACAGTTCAAGACCCCAACCTGGCAACTTGCTTTTTCACTTCCCCTCTCTCTCTGTCTCTCTCTGGTCAACTTAATAATAATAATGATGATGAAGAATAAAATAAATAATAATTTAAAAAAAAACTGTTTAGTCTACTGTATCAAGAAACACCTGGGGACCAGCAGTTAGAGTAATGGCTATGTCGCTGAACTCCTATGTAGTTAACCACGGACCGAGTCCCAGACCCAGTGGCTTAAACTCACATTGGGCGAGTGTGCATGCATGCCCAAGACTCCCAGAGGAGAATGGAGAAGGGATTGCAGCGTGGCCATCCCCACTGGGAGTTGATTTCTCGCTCTCTATCTCTCTGTCTCTCTCTGTCTTTCTGGTGAGCACACACACCCTATAGCAAAAACCTCTCTCTTGCTAAGAAACATCTGAACGTGGCTTAAACTTTAGTACCCTCAATACTTTAAATAAAGACTATCTCCAGCTCCTCTATGGTACGCTGGTGTGATTCTTATACAGTATTTCATTTATTTGAGGGCCATTTTCATTACTTTTGTCATACCCGTCCTCCATATCATTGATATTTACTTATTTATTATATATTTTTTTCTTAACAAGCTATTTATTTAATTTTATTTATTATTATTATTTAACTTTTGCTACAGGGCATGTGCACTCACCAGAGAGACAGTGAGAGTGAGTGAGTGAGAGAGAGAAAGTGAGAAAGCAAAATGCCAGGTCCAGGTCTTGAATCATGGTTGGCCATGTGGGAGTTTAGCTCCCCAACTACCATGCCACCTGCTGGCCCCTTATTATGTCATCCTCCCCCCTTGTTATATCTTTTTTTTTTGAGAGGTTTTTGCTATAGGGTGCATGCACTCGCCAGACAGACAGAGACAGACAGAGAGATAGAAAGTGAGAAATCACCCCCCAGGGGAGGTGGCCACGCCGCAATCCCTTCTCCTCCATTCTCCTCTCAGGATCTTGGGCACGCACACACACGAGCCCGGAGTGAGTTTAAGCCACTGGGTCTGGGACTCGAACTGCGGTCGACTACGTGGGAGTCCAGCGACATAGCCATTATGCTAACTGCTGGTCCCCCCCTTGTTATATCTTTTAAAACAACAATTTTTAGTGAGCTGAGATGATGTGCTCAACAATATCTGTAAAATCATAAGTTTGATGTTATATATATATTTACATATTAATAGTTGTACTTTCTAAAATGTATTAAAATAACTACATACTTAATTAAATAAATACCTTGCATATACTGAAGAAACTTTGAAAAATCACACTTTGGGAACATTGACCTATAGAATATAGTGCCACCTACATAAGGAAGATAACCAACCACTCAAAAGTTATGAAGAGAGAAGAAGCCAGGCCTTCAGAAGGAGGTTCCACATGGCTCCTGTGAACTAGGCAGAAGAAGCCAGGCCTTCAGGAGGTTCCACATGGCTCCTGCTGTGAACTAGACTGAATTTCAAGACTACTGATAATGGAGCATCCAGCAAACAAGCTAGTGGTAGGGAGCCCCCCCAGCCTTCTATCCCTATTTCTGTGTCTCTGTATCTGTCTGTTCCTGCTTGTCTTTCCTTTTTTAATAATTTTTCATTTTTACATTTTTTTTTAAAGGCAAAGTTTTTCTCTTGCTCCCAGCTCCACCTTTTATCTTGTTAATTATCGCTCTGGTCCGCCACCCAGGCAGAAGAAGCCAGGCCTTCAGAAGGAGGTTCCACATGGCTCCTGTGAACTAGGTATTTCCTGTGAACTAGGCTTTTTCTGCCACTAGCTTGTTTGCTGGAGGCTCAATTATCAGTAGAATGTCTTCATTTCTCTTGTGCCCTGTAATTTTCTATTTTGTGATTTATTTTTTTAAAAAAGGAAAACAGTAATTAATTTTTTTTTTACTTTTTTTCTCTTTTTGTTGTTGTTTCGCTCTCTCTTTTTCATTTCTCTTTTTCTTGTCTCTCCACTCTCCAATATCCATTTAATGTGTTTTTAGAAGGATCTAAGAGCATTGTAGCTAAACATCCAAATACTAATAGGGTTAAAATATTCCTCAATATCTACTGAATCTGCTGCACCAGCGATCACAACAGAATGGCAAAGAGATTCTAGATCAC